TCAAACTTCCTGGCCTTTTTGTAATCAGTGTCCACCATATGTGGTGCATATCTGGCGAGTTCGGTAAACTTTGATTCATACTCTGCTACTGACATGGTACCCTGCTTTAACTGTTCAAATTCAGTTACTTTACGATCCCTGACGCACTGAGGAAAATATTTCTCAAAGAAGGCTCCCTTAAACTGAGGCCAAGTCATAACATTGTTAGTGTCACGGACAAGCATCCACCATCGTCTGACTTCTTCTTGTAAAGTGAAGGTAGCCAGTAACACTTTGTGTGCCTCAGAACACGGAAACACTTCAAACAACTTCTCCGTTTCTAGCACCCATGCTTCGGCCTTTAGTGGTTCAAGGCCTCCTTGAAAGGATGGTGGTTTCATTTTGCTGAACTTCTGTGTCAGAGCAATTATATCCTTATTAACATTCTGTTTGGGTTGTACTGGAGGAGGTGGGGGCAGTTGGTTCTGTTGTAGCCTCAAGGCCTCAGTCAACAGTTCAACTGTTCTTTCTAATCTTGCCATTCTAGCATCAGATGATTTGATTCAGATTCATCGGCAGTTCTTGCATTGTCCATTTCACCATATGCAATACAGTAATAATAAACATAGGAATTGCTTACTTAAACACATTAACACATATATTCATGTCATGGCCACACACACTTTTTCAATGCTCATGCAATGCCCTAATTGCTTTTCTAGGACATCCTATAGCTCATTTGGACACGTGTGTGCGGTATAACTTGTGGTTTGATATCGCTCTGATACCACTCTGTCACGACCCAAACCCGCCCATATGGGTTTAGCACCGTAACCGGCCAGTAATCCGTGATTACCGAAGGCCTGTTTGACAGTAAAGATAGTAATACAGAGCACAGGGGCTGGCGGAAGCCAAAACAGTAATAGAAGATGTCCAATGAGCTGTGACAGTCTGTATACAAAAAGACTTTTTTGAACATATTCACATTCAGAAGCAAAACATATATACACCATATGTACAAACACTCAGAGTACAGTACAAGTCTTAAACAGTATTACAAAACAGAGACGCAAGGGTGAAACTGAGACACCCTAAAATAGCCTTAGCTCAGTCAGACTTGGAACCTCGAGGTGAGGCACAATGGTTGGCTTGGCAAAAATGGAGTTAACCCGACGCTCCTAGCATCGATTCGGTGCCTGAACACCTACATATAAATATAAACAGTAAGCTAAAGCCCAGTGAATAACAGTTGTGTAAAGAGGTTAAGAATGAATGTCCTTTCAGTAATTAAATAGTCATATCAGTCATTTAGAAGCCATAGCAGTCATATGTGGTACATCCAATAGCAAAACAGTACAGTAGGTCTTAACAGATCGAATAGTCAGTTGATGGCCATCATAACAGTAACAGTAGTGGTTCCAAACATGGGAACCGACAGAGATCTCTGTGACAGTAGCAGTAACAGTACAGTAACAGTAAGTTGCTAAGGATGCCACGAATACAGTTTACAAATAGGACAAACATTTGTTCATTAAACAGTAACGTTTCAGTAAACAGAACAGTTGATCATTCAGAAAATATTCATAATTGAACATATCTTTACAACATTGTTACTCATAGAGCACTGGGCTATAAGCAGCTAATGAGCGTCCTCGGATGCCAACCCTACACAGTTACAGAACGGACACACACTAAGTTACACACTTGTGAATCAACAACTTAGTCCCTATCTTGACTTGGTGTGGTTCTACATCAATATCCTCATTAAGATGCCTTAAACATGGCCTAGGAATGCCTAGGATGGAAAGAGGATGCAAAGATGCACTTTAAAATACTTTTCAAAATTCTCAGAAAACAGGGGTCTCGCTTGAGCATGGCTTTCTACGCTCGAGCGGACATGCAGACAAAGGAGCTCCGCTCGAGCGTGACTTCCTTCGCTCGAGTGGACTGTTAACTCCATGAAAAGTACTGGATGCATGCAATTCACGCTCGACGGACGCTCGACCTCTGCTCGAGCATGAGACTCATGTCCTCGCTCGAGCGTACTGCAAAACACACAAACTTCTGGGTATACGCATTTCATGCTCGAGCATAACTCTCGCCGCTCGAGTGGAATGCATGTACTCAGGGTTCACGCTCGAGCGTGAAAGTCCCCGCTCGAGTGTGGGTCAAATTTCTGAAAAATCCAAATTGACCTCCAAACATGAAATTCAACATTCAACCATCCAAAACTCATTTTTTTCTAGGCCATAACTTTGGAAAACACTTGGTAACCCAAAAAAGAACATGTTTCAAAGACCAATTTTGCAAAATCAAGCCCAAAGGTAAGTCAATTGAACACAATTTCAAAGAAACTCTCATGATCTATGTAAAAACATAACATGCAAGAACTCTTATGAATTAAGTGCTCTAAAACTTGACCAAATGCAAGATTAAGCTTAAGAACATGGTGAATTCATGGACTACATTCTAAATATACACATGCGTGGAAGGAATTCATGCAAAACAACCTCAAAATGCAAAGAATATAAACATGCATGCATGAATTAGCTCATAATTCAACTCTTCAAATTAATCCTTGACTTTAAACTCTAAATTACCATGAACCATGCAATATACAACTCAAATGTACAAATGAGAGGATGAAATCTCTACCTTAGGTCTTGAATTCAAGGTATAGAAGCTCAATTTTGCAAATGCTCTTCAAGTCTTCTAATTTTCCAAGCCAATCTAGGTGAACTCAATTTCTTCCAACTCTCTAGCTCTCTCTCACATTTTTGGTCTCTAGAGGAAATGAAGATGATGCAAATTGACATATAATCAAGTCTCAAGATGATTTATGAAAGTGGCCCACTAATGGCATTTTGGTAATTTACGTGAACTAATGTGATTTACATTATTTAATCCAATTTAATCTTTCCAAATCAAATTTAAGTTAAAACTACCATAAAATCACATAAATTTTAATTAACATAAAATACCAATCGATTTCTGATTCGGTCGCCAATAGGACCTTCAATTCATAATTCAAAGATAAAACATGAATAGATTATTTAGTAGTCAAACAGATAGAAATGCATTTACAGACAATACACTCATGCAATCAGTTTAGGATTTCCTCCTAATCAGTTACTTATCATATTCAGTCAAAGTTTAGCAGTAATCAGAGGTGAGGGTTGTCACAATAAAGCCCTCGGTTAGTTCTTTAAATTTTGTGAAGGATGATGGGCCAAAATGCTAATGGATTTGGAGAGATCAAAGATCTTGTGATGTTTTTGGTGAGAAATGTAAAGAGAAGGAAGAGTAATGTGTTTTTAGAGAGAGAGAGATATAGGAAAAGTGATATACACTCAGCCCCAAAAGAGAGAAAAGACAGAATTTTCAGACTCAGTGGAGTCCCGCACGTGCGGCATCCATACTTGCACGTGCGGAGCGTCCTCCTGCACATGTGGCGCTCTTACCCCGCACCTCCAGCCGCACTTGCCTTTTATGAGTAGAAAACCATAATTTCCCCTGCTCCTCGCATGTGCGGCCCCCATCCTGCATGTGCGGCTCAGCCCTTCCAACCAGGAAACTCTTCAGCTCAACCCAAGCCACTCCAAACCCAACCTCGCATCTTCTGAAACATAAGAAACTCGACACAGAAATAAATGAAAGCAAGGATTTGAAACAAGTTTCCAAATACAACAAAACGAATCGTTAACAAGACTCCTGGTCAACACATTATCCATTGGATTAATAATCCTGAAACGAAATTTCAAAACAAACACAGGGTTATCGAGCCCACGGATTAATAATCTCAATCCCATGTTTTAATCCTGTCAATCAAACATGCTCTGAGAGTTTTGTTATAATTATCAAAGTTATTACATTATTTACAAGTTAGAATTGTCTGCTTCATTATGAGAGAGATGCTAGAATGTGCACCCTAAAAAATGTGCATATGGTGTGCCTCCCATAACATTTTTACAAAATTTTATAACTTAACAACTTTTTTACTACAAAAATATAACTTTCTTTCAACATAAAATGTCATTACAAAAATTACGAAGTGTCATAACATTAACATTCCTAACTTTAGGTTGCACACCATAAATTCATTATGCATAATTTTACAACAAAATGTCATAACATCCATCACAAATAATCATAACTTTTATCATAAAAAATCATAACTTTCTTACGATGTGCACCTTTTTAAAAAGTGCACGTCGTAGATTTCTCCTTATTACGATGTGCACGCTTTAAAACCAAAAATAGTTGGGTTCCTTTCACGCAGCTTGATTCCAACATGGAGGAGATCTCCGCGGATTTATTAAGAGTTCGTTCAAGCAATTCATTGAAGATCTTACTCCCGAAGTGTTTGGTGAAAATTCCTTCCAAGCCAACTCTATAGTGCATTAGTATTGCTGGCAAATTAGGTGGTCCATCATTCTTTGGCCTGGTATTACTTACCTCCATTCTCTCTATGCTGAAACACCCATGTCTTTCTATTAGCTTCGTCATCTCTTCGGCAGAGGTAGTATACAAAGGAAAATTGAAGGATTCCCCTTCATCTTCATTGATCATTCCCTGCCACAAAGATTAACATTAATGACTTGGCCTTAGCGGTCCACTATCTTAATCTCACTTGAGTAACATTAAAATAGGACACAAATTTATAAAAGATATAAAGATTCATTATACATTTCGGTTCAGAAATATTCCTACCAATTTAGTGGAACAAGAAGGGAAGTTGTAATTTATTTATTTTTTTCCAATTGAGTTCAAAATTAGTGAAACTAAAATCAAGCAAAAATTAGAACACATTTTTGTTGCAATTTGTCCTCATTCTCTATATGATCCTAAGTTTTTGTTCAGACTTCTAGTCCAAACATTAACCTCCTTTATTGCATAATACTTAAATTTGACTTACTAATTTCACCATATGCAAGGAGACTGGTTGAAAGCATAAAAAAAAGGACAACATGGGTCCTGAGAGCATTGAACGCCATCTGCGAGACCTGGCATGATCAATATCATCATTCCTCAACTATAATCTCATCAGCTCTAGCATTGAAAAAGGTATCCATGTCCTTTGCAAATTGAGCTGCATAAACATTAGCGATTTCTTTTGAGGCACTTGTATAATGAATCTTTCCCTTGTTCCATGTAAGAGAGCCATTGTCCAACAACTCTTCTGGTACCTTAGAGAGCCATTGGAGTGCAAAAGAGGAATACATCAAATGGATAGAGGACTTGGGGAATAACCGACCGTAGAAAGAGCCTGGCACTCCAGCAGCCAAGTATTCCCTATCAGGAGGCAGAGTGGTGAAAAAGATGTTGAAATCATTGGAAGCATGATCATTGAAAAACAACTGAAATTCAGGCATCTCAGTTGTGAAATTTTTTGAATGGTATTTCCATTTAATAGCTTCTAGGATATTTTTCATAGCATTGAAAGTGTTTGGCCCAACAGAACAACCCAAATCTGCAATTTGAATGGTGTTTGAAATAATATGAAATCACTGTGAAATCGTGATAATAAAATCGTGATAATAAAATAATATGAAATCTTTTCCCTTGAATCCACTGTGAAATCGTGATAATAAAATAATATGAAATCTTTTTTTTTTTTTTTTTTCTTCTTTCCCACGCACTCTCACTGCCGCAAGATATAAAAGACACAAATTGACTTAGTAACCTAATTTTCCAAAATTAAAATGTTACCTGTCTAAGTTACAAAAATTACAAAATCACCCATAACTAATTTATTATTATTTTAATTATATTACTAAAACTCGGATTTCACAATTAGAGTCACATCTTTGATGATGATGTCAGATGTGTAATTAATGGTGTAAAAGTGAAGGCTACTATTTGCACCCGTTTTTGTAAAATGTTTGTCGACAAGTGCACAAATCAAATTGTGACATGTGGCAACAAAGTCGTAGTTGGGGTGCGTATTAATCAGAGGATTATGTGGCAAGGAAATGGTAGTCACATGTGCAATACAACAAGAGCGTGTCATGGGCTAAGATTGTGGAGCAATTGCAAGCTTTATTGGAGATCATGGGCTAATTTCTAGGAGATGTTGACGTTAATAGGAATTTCCTCTATTGATCATGCTCATTAGTTAAGGGAAATTGGGTGATGATGTGGCTAGACGTTTAAAAGTAAAGTTGGGACAAATATAAAAGTTCAAAGAAGCAAAGGAGATTGCAAGTAGTTATGGGTTTTAGTAAAATGGTCTCCTCTGTCGAAGGTAGTGCTAGAAATAATGGGGGACATGTGGCAAGTCTGTGTGATGTGCTAGAGAAAGATAAAGAAGTAGTTGCAGCAGTTAGGGAAGTTGGGGAAAGATTGGCCAGCAAATTTCAAGGAAGGTGGGATCATGTGCTAGAGTTTCAAGTGAAAGTATAAAAGCTGAAAGTTTGTATAGAGAAAGGGCATCAACAACTCAACAACACTTAACTTTTGAACTTAGGAGTAGCTCTGTAATTTAGGAGTAGTTTTTTCTATAAAATTGTACTTGTAACTTAGTGAACTTTAGTAGTTTCATTCTGAAATTATTCTTTGTTTACTCTGTTTATTTTGTAATTGTCAGTTGTTCCAGAGAAATCCTCATCCTTTTGAGGCATTCGAACTAATTCCACAGTTGCTTGATTGTTCTTATTTAAATTGTTTTGTTTAAATTATTGCTTGGTCACTGTCGATTAAGGCCTAGCATAATTTTTACTATTAGCTACAAAGGAAGAATTTATTGGTTGGTCTAAAAACAGCGTCACGTGGTGTTTTATATGCACTATAATTAGTGGAGGATGTAGAATTCACGATTTTGTATTAGGTGATTGGGAAATATAGAGGGATGTGGTGATTTGTGATTAGTTAGGGATATAGCCACATGGTGCCTTGGACCAATCAATAATTTTTCCTATGAAAAAAGTAAGAATTGACTAGGCGAGAGTGGGAGTAAAATCAGCCATTAAAGTGGGGGTAAAGATGTAATTTTACCTCCTAGGGCTTTTAGTCCCAAAAGTCACTCCCAATTTTTGAGTGAAAATAATACAATTTTAAATCTTTTTCCGTACAATTAAATTCTCAAATTTTCAGAATAATTTTAAATATTATATACCAAGCCTGGAGAGTTCACCTCTCAAATTTTAAATTGAATCGGGCCTTGGTGCATGTAAATCAAGACATTTATACACTAAAATCCTTAATTCACTAGAATGACTTTAAAATTAACTTAATATACTCTATTAACCTTAGAATAACATGTACAGATGAATCAGTCCCGAATAAAATTGAAGTTGTCAATGTAGTGCAATTCTTAAACAATTAAAATGATTCTAAATTATCAAAATGCAATATACTAACTAAAATATCATCTGTCTCTCAAGTCTCAAATCCACTTAAGAATTAGTGCATGCAAGTTACGATGAAGTGATAAGAATTTTATGAGGGTTTTGTTATAATTATCAAAGTTAATAAAGCCTCTATTACATTATTTAAAAGTTCAAATTGTTCCTTTCATTATGAGAAGATGCTCGAATGTGCACTCGAAAAAATGTGCATATGGTATGCCTTTCATAACGTTTTTACAAAATTTCATAACTTAAACACAAAATGTCATAACTATTTTACTATAAAAATATGACTTTCTTTCAATATAAAATGTCATTACAAAAATTACGAAGTGTCATAATATTAGCATCCCTAACTTTAGGATATACATCATAAATTCATTATTCATAACTTTACCACAAAACGTCACAACATACGTCATAAATAATCATAACTTTTATGATAAAAGATCATAATTTTCTTACGATGTGCACCTTTTTAAAGGGTGCATGCCATAGATTTCTCCTCATTATGATAAGGCGAAGGCAACATGAACTCAAATCATTTACGCTTTAAAACCAAAAATAGTTGGGTTCCTTTCACGCAGCTTGATTCCAACATGGAGGAAATCTCCGCGGATTTATTAAGAGTTCGTTCGAACAATTCATCGAAGATCTTACTCCCAAAGTGTTTGGTGAAAATTCCTTCTAAGATAACTCTATAGTGCATTAGTATTGCTGGCAAATTAGGTGGTCCATCATTCTTTGGCCCGGTATCACTTACCTCCATTCTCTCTATGCTGAAACACCCATTTCTTTCTACTAGCTTTGTCATCTCTTTGGGAGAGGTAGTAATATACAAAGGCAAATTGAAGGAGTCCACTTCATCTTCATTGATCATTCCCTGCCACAAAGATTACCATTAATGTCTTGGCCTTAGAGGTCCACTCTCTTAATCTCACTCGAGTAACATTAAAATAGAACAACAAATTCACTACAAAATTCTAGAAACCAAAATTTAAGGACAAAATTAGTTTTTAGAGATCAAATATTTTTATTGCGAAAAGTATTATTATTATATTTTTAGCAACCAAAATTGGACATTAGAGATGAATTATTATCTTTTGGAACCAAATTTTGTCACAAAAAATAAACCATTTTGAGATCAAATTATTTTGTCGCTAAAAGTGTATTTATTAGTGACATTTTCAAAATTTTATCGCTAGAAGCCCCATTTTTGACTTTTCGCGAAAATCTTTTGGCGACTATCCTTATGACGATAGAAATTGATCCCTAAATGTCATTTACAACAAAATTTTTACTTTTGGAGACTAAAAAAATTGATTTTTAAAACTCTTATATGTTGAAGTGATTTGGGAAAGATATAAAGATTCATTATGCATTTCGGTTTAGAAATATTCCTACGAATTTAGTAGAACAAGAAGGGAAGTCATAATTTTTTTATTTATTTTTTCCAATTGAGTTCAAAATTAGAGAAACTAAAATAAAGAAAAAAGTAGAACACATTTTTGGTTCAATTCTCTATATGATCCTAAGCATATGCTAAGACTACTAGTCCAAACATTAACTTCCTTTATTGAATAATACTTAATTTTGACTCACCAATTTCACCATATCAAGGAGACTCTGGTTGAAAGCATCAAAAAACGGCCGACGTGGGTCCTGAGAATAATGAACGCCATCAGCGAGACCTGGGATGATCAATATCATCATTCCTCCAACTATAATCTCATCAGCTCTAGCATTGAAAAAGGTATCCATGTCCTTTGCAAATTGAGCTGCATAAACATTAGCGATTTCTTTCGAGGCACTTGTATAATGAATCTTTCCCTTGTTCCATGCAAGAGAGCCATTGTCCAACAACTCTTCTGGTACCTTAGAGAGCCAATGGAGTGCAAAAGAGGAATACATCAAATGGATAGAGGACTTGGGGAATAACCGACCGTAGAAAGAGCCTGGCACTCCCGCAGCAAAGTATTGCCTATCAGGAGGCAAAGTAGTGAAAAGGGTGTTGAAATCATTGGAAGCATGGTCATTGAAAAACAACTGAAATTCAGGCATCTCAGTTGTGAGATTTTTTGAATGGTATTTCCATTCAATGGCTTCTACGATACTTTTCATAGCATTGAAAGTGTTTGGCCCAACAGAACAACCCAAATCTGCAATTCGAATGGTGTTTGAACTAAAACTAAGGCTTGTTATGTCAAACTTCTTAGCAATTGCCTCTATGATCATTTCCTTTAAAAGATTTATGGCTTCACCCTGCAAAAATAGACCAAATTTATATACATTATTGTTGCCGTCATCACTATAAAAAAGGATTCAAAATATTTAATTTGAATTAAGATATAATCTTAATTAAGATTCATTCCTAAATTCTCATAATTTTAAAATTCTCTCTTTCTTACGTGGCAACCCTCTTTGATTGTCTTTCATGTTTTCAACCCTCTTTGATTATCTTTCATGTTTTCAACCCTCTTTGATTATCTTTCATGTTTTCTATTTTCCTCCATTTTCTATTTGATTGATTAATTAAAATGAAAATTAATTTCAAGGTTTATGGATAAAGATTTGAATTTCAAAATTCCTCCAAATAGATAAACATATAAAAATTGATAAATAATTTATGAAAATTAATTTCATGGTCTACAGATAGAGATAGAAATTAAATAATTGATTTAAAAAAATTAATTTCACAACTTATAGATAATTTAAAATTTCTTCCCAGAAATGAACTTATAAAAATTGACGAATAACTTATAAAAAATAATTTCATGACCTACAGATAAGATAAAGATAAAGATTAAAAAATTGATTTAAAAAAAAAATGAAATAATTTATGACTTTAGTTGCATTAATTCGATCATTTTTTCATTGAGTAACATATATAATTTCTTTGTTAGCATATAATGATTAAAGCTATCATTTATTATATTTCTTCAAGAACAATTCAAATATTGTCATCATTTTTTTAATAAATAAAATGGATTAAAAAATTATTTTCTTATATAATTTTTATAATCTTA